TAACAGTCCAACAGCATGATTAAACCTCACAAGTTCATGTTGCCACCCATGAACATAACCATAAACTTATATAACCCACACTAAATCATACCTGATGCCCCCGAAATTCAAAGACCAGCCAACAGCACCATCAGGCTGAAGAGGTTGCCCTGCAACGCTTCAGCCCCGACGCCCGTCAGCGGAGGGAAGCGAGCCTCCATGGGTCTGCGAGAGTTCTGGGTCCGGCTTTAATTGCTTGCGGCACATTTTTTTGCTTCTTGGGGCAGTTCGGAGCTTTCTGGTTCGAAATGCAGGAGCTCAAGCTCTGCAGCTCCGCATCCAACCCGCTTGGATATTGGATGTGCAAGAAGGATGCAGGCCAAACGCTCGCCCGCACCCTTCTGAAACAGAAAAGACATGTGCAACCCACCGTCCTGCCAAGTCAAGTCTGGTGGATCTTTGAAGATACGCTCTCACAACTCGGACAAGCAGGACTCCAAGGGTTTTGTGAATGGCTTGCCCGTGGCATAATTACCACAGGGGCCCTTCATCTCTGTTGCATATTCCCTACATACGAAGACAGAAGATCATCCAATGCAGGCACCAATCAGGTTCTTGCAGTACGAGTACTATCTTCTGGGTATCCTGGTTGCGCCATCTGCATGCGAAGGTCGCTTCGGAAGTCCAGTCAGACATGCTTTTGCATCCTACTTCGCGTGGGCGAGCCCGCATTGCAGGGTGGTTAGGGCCTCGTATGACATGAGCCTAACACTCAGATGTTCAAAGGCATCAATGCCGCAGATGATCACTGAAGTATACAAAGACGTGACCAGATGTGCATGTCGGTTGTTGGCTCCACGGCTACACCGGTATCAGTACAGCTTCGTCTGAATTGAACGACTAGCAATACAAGCATCACGGCAAAGGAAGAAAGGAACGCGACTGACGACTTCGGGTCCCCGTTTCAGGGGCCCCAGCGCAGGCTTCTGGGTCAGGAACTCCCATCGGGTTCGGCCTGCAACAGCGCATTTGATCTCTCTTTGCAGAGAAGGCAGGCTTCGGGGGCTGCTATGCTATAGGCATACAGTCCAACATCTAGCGGTTGTTCAGGACAGCATCAGCACGACTAGCTCTAACCGCTCCGGCGGGCTCTGATAGCAAGCTGCACCCTGCGATCGTATCGCGATCGTCAATGTTCGGAGATTCTGGAGGACGCCACGCAGCGCTCGGGTAAGCGGGTAAAGTTCGGGTAAAGCATCCGAGACGTTGGACTGCAGGATGCTTGCAGTTCGGCCAAAAGCAGCGATGTCTGCCCTCTTGGGCCTAGCCTGTTGCTACTTCAACTCGGCTATGAGGCCAGTAAGCCATTACGGTGCAGGGTATTGAACGCAGAGCTGCTCTTTGACATGGAAAGGACGAAGTAACAGTTGTGTGATTCGCCAAGAGGCTGTGGAGAAGAACTGCGTGGATGTGACCCCGACATATTAGTGCAGAGTACTCCAGAGGCATAGGGCAAGCAAAGCGCATTGTAAGCCCTCTACCAAGCCCTTCAAGAGCAAGGGGTTCTGGTGGTTGGCACCGTGGATGCGTGCGACGCCGTTGACGCTGTTTACGCCGATCCGCTCACGTCGTCACGTCTTCGTGCATTTTGCCCTACGAGTATAAACTCGAGTCAAGTCGTCACATCTTCACGTCTTCGAGCACTCCGCCCCAAACTCACATCGTCGCGTCTTCGCACGCTTGGCCCCAGACTTTGCGCACCCCTGCAATCAACATTAACATCATCTTAAACCCTGGAAAAATTCTGTATAGAGAAGGAATCGTGGACTCTGTTTTGGGCTCCTTGTGATTCGATGCCAAGCCAGACCGGCCAGATCTGGATAAATGATCCGGCTATGGCTGTACCACCCCCCCTGATCTCAAGCCCTCTGAAGGCCTCCAGTTGCAGCCATAAGTCAATCCGTAGTCCAACGCGTTCGTGGCCTGGTCTCAGCTTCTTCTCAAATGTTTGCCTTCAGTTTCAGAGCTCCTACCAGGGGGGAGGGTTGTGGCTCCGAAGTTAAGAGTACTAGGAGTCTCGACCCTTTTGGTTTGACGACTGCCGGACCAATGCTGCACGATGAGCCCTGAAACTCCAACGGCCCGAAGCCCTTCAGTAGAAGGAGCTTGCAAAGCAACGGATACTAACTGAAGCTGCAAGGCCCTGAACGCAACAGACAACGGACACAATCCCTGATGATGGTGATGCTGATGGTGGTAATGTCGACGCTGATGTTGAAGGAGAAACGGAGGATTAAATGATGCCCCCGATGGAGACGATGGTTCCTCTTGATGCGCATCGGCTTTTGGATGAGTCTCGAACCTGAAACTTTGAAACCCAAAATCTTAAACCGTCAAGCGCTAGCCACTAGTGCACAGGTCAGGGTTTGGAACTTGGGCCTTTTTTGTCACTCGTGCTCGACAAGTCCGACGGAACTTGGGCCTTACACTCTCGCAACTCGGACTCGCCGGACGAGGTCTCTGGGTTCGGGTGCACAACTTGTGCTCGCTACTCTACTTCGCCTTTACCAAACTTCGAGTCGTAGGCAGGACGTCCAACACGCTCAATACGACGACCCTGTGCACCACGAGCAGACACGAGCCGGATGCTTTTCCTGACCGCCGCCAGCTATGAAACTGTGCCTCTCTGGTTCAGACGCAGCAGCTACAGACTTTTGCCGTGTGTGATTCCAGATCAGCTTCCTCTGTAACATGAGCTTCCTCTTGTTGCATTGCAACTTCCGCCCCAACTCCATACAGTCGCACAGGCACCTTGCTGCCACGAGCTTTTCAGCTCGATCCGGCGTCAGGGTCGTCCGAAGGAGCGGACATGAGCTGCACAAAAAGCAGCATTTCTTCGTCAAGCTGCTTCTTGAACTGCACGTCCTACCATTCCCATGCGTCACCGTCGCGAGACCAGATCAGACGTCGGCAAGAACTCGGCGGGAGTGAGTCTTGAAAAACAATTTCGGGCTGCTTGCCAGCAGGGGCCCGAAACCCTTTTGCTTTTTACACCCTGCAAGTGGCGGACTCTGATTGTGTCGGGAACTGTGGCAACGAAACCGTCTTTCCTTTGGATGACTTGCTTCGGGTGTTTTCTCGCCAGTCACACTCGGGGACTCGGGGACACACCTGCATGAGTCAGCCTTTACGGATGTGCACAGCTTAGGTTCAATGCAAGGTGAAGCTCCGGGCCTGTAATGCTTTAACGGATCTGACGGTAGTGTACCTCGGGTGATGATTAGCCGGGTGGACACCCTGGACCCTCCACCCTGAAGTCCGAACCTCGACATCCCTTTTGCTCCGTCAACAACAACGGAAGCAATTCACGCCCCCCAAGACCATCTCTAGCGCTACTGCAGCAAGCTCTTTTTTCTACCTGAGCTCTGTCAGACTGGTGCGGTATGTCAGTGTGGGTCCAAAAACTGAAACTCTGAACTACCTCGAACGACTCGACGATACTCGATGCATAGACACGAAACAGTTGAAATCCCGGCCATCAAGCCTCAGCTCCAGGAGCTAGGTCATGAAGCTCTTGTCGGCAAGGCGCTTTGCCTGGCATTTGCTCCAAGACAAGATCTTGACGTTGGTTGAGGTCACATACCAGCCGAAACATGTGAAACACCCTTTCAGCCATCCAGCACATTTTTGGCAATAGCCGGCAGAGACACCCCGTAATATCAGAAACAAACGAGCAAAACCTCGAGACCGGGAGGAGCAAACAGTGAAGCTTGCAAGGTCTTGCTGGACATCAAGCAAAGCCCTGGCAGCTTCACTGCTTGCTCAACTGGGTTGAAAGGTTGCCCACACAGACATCCCATAAGAGTAGCAACAAACGAGCACAGCTTCGTTGGGATGAGGCTGGGGAAAGCAAAGCACACTGTCAAGGCACACGACAGAAAGGAGCCTCCCGTCTCAAAGTTCCAAAGAAGACCATGCGTGACTCTGCGAAAGATCTTTGTTGAGTCCCATAAGCAGTGCCTCTGCGACCCCGCAGCTTGTGAATGTTGATCGGTTTCACAAATCTACTGACGAAGCGCCTTACCGTCCTTTGGGGGGGCCAACGACAGACTGCCCTTGTGCTCACCACAGAACATCATGAACATAATCTTCAGGAACACAAACCCTGAAAGAGATTCTGCTCCACATGTGTGGGTTGGTGTCAAGTAGTTAGAACCAGTCAAATCAGTCACAGAATGAACACAGGCATGAATACCAAAAGCGACACTCCTATAGCCCCACAGAACTGCCAGTACTTCAACCAGTACCGCCAGCAAGCCTTTTGCGCTCTTTTTTGCCTTTGGCTGTACAACTTCCTGGCGCTAAGTAGCCAATCTTGCTTGGAGGCCACGGGGGTTTTCGGGTTGAGCCATGGCAACACTTATTTCCCGTCGGTTTCCTCTTATGCTTTGAATCGCCCAACCAGATCACGCGTCTACCCAACTCCTTCCAAGCAAGAGGTAGGACAGCGTTATATCGCCAGCAAAATTGGAATGGCGAGAGCAGGTATTCCCATGGTCCGACTTTGCAGTACGCTTAGCAACAACAAGAAGCAGCAAAGAAGCAGCCACACATCCTGTAGTGCCTGACTCACGGCTGCACTATGTCTCTGCTTCCCTGACAGTTGAAGTTATTCAGCACCAGACCCCGATGAAAGCAACCACGACCCAACGCCTTTGAACAAGAAGAACAATATCAAAGGGACAGAGTTAAGTCACAGGACCCAGGAGACGCTGCCGGCACGAGGCCGGAGCACTGACCCTCGGCTCTTGCTGAGCGCTTTCGCTGTACTTTGGCTTTGGCCTGCTCGGTTTAGAGGTTTGGGTTTGTGTCCTGCTCCATCGACACTTTTGGTGTGTCCTGAGTCTCTGGCAGTGGGGATGCCTTAAGCTTGGAGTCAGGATGAAGCCCCAAACACTTCAACCACCCTCGATCCGAAGTTAAGACGGCTGCGGCCTGAGGGTGCTGGCAAAGGTTGGAGCCTAAAGCTTTGAGGCACTGAAGATGTACCTTCCTCCAGCAAGAGCTGGAATGTACTGTCCAGGCATCGCCTGTGCAATCGCAATCTTGGCACGCCATCCAGTACCTTGAGACCAAGGACCCTCTTGGTGAAAGAGCTGCGTACACCAAAGACGGTTTTGCCTTCTAGTGGGTTTTGATCTCTTTTGTGTCCTCAATACCGTAGGCTACCTGTACAGGGATACCAACACGAAACTAGTATAGACCAGCTCCCTCGAACACGCTGACAAGAAGCCGAAGCACATTTCCTAAGCCTGCCCAAGAACTCAAACCTAAAGCCCCAAATAACACGAACCCAGGTAGCCCGGGCACAGTGCCCTGGCAGGATTGCCTTGGGTCGCAGCTCAACGAGGTCATGGATGGTGTCTCTGACACGCTCCTCAAGCCCTGCGCCGCCTAAGTGGAAGCCGCCCATTGCCTTGGTGATTCAGGACTGTGCTAGGGCAACGCCGGCTCAGGGTGGTGGCCACAACAACAAAATCCTTGATTCGGCTCACTGTAGCTTACTTAACATGGCTCCGAGGTCGAAACTTGTTGATTCCAGGTCTGTTTTGAAAACCCAAGCGGCTGCTAGCAGTGGTACTCCAGAAAGGTCGCGGGCATGCCGACACACATTCACAATTCCTGCATGCGAACAAGATGAAAAGACCACGACGCCGGCGTCCTTGACCTTCACGGCCACATACCGCTCCTTGTCGATGCGACAGCCACTCCCTCCAACCATTCCTAAACAACACCCTTGCATAAACTAAACTTCAGTCTTACCACCGTCAGCCCGAAACCCAAACCCAAACACCCTCCTCGTCGATGTCATTGTCATCCCTCCAATCATTGTCTTCTAAGCGCTTGGAACCAACCAGGCCTTTCTCATAGCAGGTCTGTCGAGGGATCTCCCCACTGACGAAGAAGCAGTCTGACACGACGTGCGGCTCTTTGCTCAGCCTTCTACTTGCTCCGTAGAAAACCAGGCTTTGAGAAAGGTGTTTTGGTTATTCATCCCATTCTAAACTCAAGTTAGGCTTGCGCCAAAGAAACACGAGGTCGGCCCCCAGCTGCCGGAATTCTTCGAAGGTCGGGGTCTCGGGCTGTAGCGGCAGGGTGGTCCCAGACGGCAACTGCCTCGGTTTCGCAGGAATTCCCTAAGCCTCAGCGGCTGGTAGAGATTGTGAGACCCCTTCCGGAAGTGCAGCCATTCTTTCACACCTTTGAGCCGTAGATGCACAGCCCTGGACTCGGGACGGTCCTGGTGCAGGTCCAGGTGGACAGGCCCCCTGCCGGCTTCCTTCGGGAATGTCACCGACATTCTCATTTCTTTCTACACAGGCATGATTGGAGCTCGCCCGCATCCTATTATATATATCCCAAACGCCAACACAGAATTCACGCCGGACTGCCTGGCGGGCTGATGCAATGAGTGGCACTGCGCCGGTTAATCCACCCGAGTGGTCGGCATGGTAATGCGACAGGACCTGGGATGCTTCTATGATTCCGAGGCTCTTCCTACCGCCTTGGTCGCTTGGGGCTTCAGGTCGTGGTTTGAAATACTCATGTTTCTTGCGGTGTGTCTCCGTCTTGGTTGCTTCGCTTCGTTGCATGCGCACGTAGCTCCCGTCCTTTCCTGTTAGCGAGCTTTACCTGCCAGGCGAACCGGGTTGTTTTTGGGCCTTGGATACCTTGAAAACGAGGGTTGCTTTACACCGTGGTGACTTCTAACAAGTCCTTCGGGTCCTGATCTCAGAATCAGCTACTTCTGGTCTCGTTCGTTATGAATAGCATTCATCGCGGCGTCGAAGGAAACAAGCTTCCAAGGAGGGCCAGGGCGCGATGCACTCGACGGAAGCTAGGTCGACCTGCAACTTCTTGGCGTTTGCTTCCCATAGCCGCGGACACGGGCCAGCATCCAAGAGCACAGACCTGATAGTTCTTGAGAGTTCCAGCTTCGCATGAGATTACAGGCGGAGCTTTATAGTTCTTGAGAGTTCGAGTTTCGTGTAGGATTTCGGGCGGAGCTTGCCGTTCTCTCTCCGGCGCAACAAGTTCTAGTCGTTGGTCGCAGGGTTCAAGCGTGGGAGGCGCCTGCTTTTAAAAACACCCGCCTCTTCTCACGACCCGCCGTTGTAGTCACCTGGACTTTGTTGTCAGGTTCTTCTATCCATGCGAAACTGGCACGACTCGGCACATCCCCAAGAATGGCGCCTCTGATCGACAAAAACTAGAGGAATGTCATCTCTAAGTCAAGACGCCGCAGGCTGAGCCCATGATTGCCCTCTCGGAACCATGGGACGCTAGCCGCTAGACTGCTTTGTGCGTTTCAGTGGCTCCGAAGCCCCAGACCTGCCTCGGCAGTGAGCAAGAGGGAGAGTCCATGAGCAGCGGAGCAGAAATCTGGAAAGTTGAGGCTCGTGTCCCCACGCGCCACATGCTGAGCCACTTCAGACTGATAGCTGACACTGCCATCCTTGTTGCATGCGGCCGTGGACAGGAAGTCGGTGTCATTGTCAATGATGTTTGTCACCGCAAGCGACTCTACTTCGAACCAGTGCTCCATGGCTTCGCAACTCTGCCTCTGGTCTCCCACCTAGGCCCTACGCTCGGGCACAAGCTGCTCGGATATCACACCGCGCCAAGGGACACCCGACAACCTCCACGACGTGAGCATCCGACCGAGTGGCAGATTCAAGGCGGAAGTTGAGCCGCCGAATAGCCAGCTTCGGAAGCTGCACTCTTTCACTTGCGAAAATCAACATCCCGGGGCCCTCAAGCGTGGATAGCGAGAATGCCTGAACACATAAACAGGCAAAGGTCGAAAGGGTACCTGCACCATGTAGGCAGCGTCGATCGCGGCTTCGACAGGCCAGCTGCAACTGTGAGGCCTTCACTCTCCACCTGGCTTCATGGGGTTGTTTGTGGAGGCACCGCCCAGCATGCAGTATACATGCCTCAGCATGCCAACGATCTATCAACACCCAGGCAGTTTCGCCAACGAGCCGCAGCACAATGTACCAAATTCCCCGCACTTTCTCGCCTACATGGGGTTATGCTATCTCCTGACATGCCAAGCACCAGTCCAACTTGTCTAATCTAACCACCAATCTAGAACCGAACCACGATGCCGCACCTCCTGACTCACCTGGTCGCTGTTTGGTGAACAGTCTGACACTCGGAAAACCCTTTAACACTACTGTTTAAACGGTCAGTGATTTGGTAAGCGCGCTATGACAAAGTGCCGTTTTATTGCAGTTATGAGGAGGAGCAATTTTTAGCTACATGCACATCTTGTTTCTTGCCGTTAGGCTTGGCCTCGTGATTGCAAGTGCAGGGATTAATCAGGCCCATTTTGTGACTTAGGCTTCTGCCTGTTCGTTAAGTGCATCGCATTTTGGAAGATGGCTGTGCCTTGGGGGTAAGACGGCTGCGTTAAGCGTGATGTACTCAACACTGTCACACTTAAAGTAAAGGCTGGAGCCAAGGTACGAGCCCCGCTTGTCTGCAGGCTTTTCAGATCTTGATCGCGCAGTCAAACTTGAGCATTCCACGAAAAGCTTTCCTGACCGCAACGGTGCTTTGTGCACCTCAACAGCTGGCAGAAAGGCTAGATTGGAACTAGGAAGCCTGCAGCAGCCAGTAAGTATTTCAACTTCTGAAACTCTGGACTCCACCATCCAACGAGCTTCGCAGAAAGGCAGACTGATGCACCAATCCATCTGCCAAGGAACCTTCTTGTGGCTCGTCTGTCTCGCCCAGCACCCCATCGAAGATCATGTCTTGGACTGTCCACAGCAGCCTGCGCAAGAAACTATAAGCTTCCCCAGCGTCGGAGTGCTCTTACGAACAGTTGGCGATTCGAGACGCTCTCGGGGCTATTTACCACTGCTCTCAACGACTGCTCGACTCGACAAGTTGGGCCTGCTGCCGTCGAAGAAATCCAGCCTCACAAAGCATCAAGCTGGCCCTAAATGGGGTCGCGTTCGGTTCTGCAGTAATTTTGCTGCTTCCGTTCTGCCTGTCATCGCTAAAATCAACCAACGCCAAGACTTGCGCCGCGAGTCCGCTACGCTAAACCCGGAACCCCAAGCGAGCTACTGCTGGTACTACAGGGGTCTTAAACAAAATTTTGGCACTGGGGTATTGCCAATCCTCCTATATCTCTAGCGTGCCACACCCCAAAACCCCAGTCTAACTATGAACCCTAACCCCAAAACCTGTCAGTTCTGGCACTAAACATATATTTGACCCCAATATTTTTTCCTTCCAAAACCTGTCAGTTCTGGCCTTATCTGCTGGCCAGCCTCTCCCTGAGCGAAAGTCACGCTCGGAAGTATCGCGATGGCTCGCCAGCCAGATTCCTGATGAGCTTCATGCATGCATGACCATGTATGTATATACTGAAGACAAACACACATACATATATGTTTACACATATCTGTGAACCTATGAATCTGTGCATGCACTTATATATATATATATATATATATATATATATATGTGCGTGTATGTATGTGGGTATACACGCTATACCCATATCTACAGTGTATGTTTGAATCTGAAACGATGTACTTTATACCCACATACATATATACATGTTACGTACCGATAGGTTTAGGCTTCATAGAGTTCGGGGCTTCGCCGTTGAGTCCTTACGGTAGCATTTAGGGTCTACAAGGTTTGGGTGCAAGATAACGGGCAGTAGGTTAGGTGAATCTCAATAGTCTTTGCTTAGTCTCATGTTCCTCTTCTTTTGCTGCTCTCGCCGTCGATATCTTGTGCTTTGTCCATCATATCGTTGCGAGCGACTTTGGCTTCACGGCTCAGGTGGAACATGGCGGAATGTAGCGTATCTTGATCTTTCGTAGCTTCGGACACAGACCAGTATCAAGCCCTAAAGCAACTCACAACTCGAAAAACCTGACCTCGAGATAACCCAGAAGCTTCACAGTCACAATGTGCCGCTCATCGTAATCCGTGAAGGCCTCAAGCTGAGAGTTCAGCCCGAGGGCAACACACACAAGCCCTGCCAGCCAAGGTGCAACTTCTATTGGAAGCTCCAACCTCTGCACCCAGAGATAGTCGACCTTCGCCTGCGGATCCATCTCGAACACTTGCTGCGGACCAGAAGGATGCAGGCTTCGGGGCACCACTGTGAAGTAGCCAGCATTCTTAGCTCGGATTGGTGTCCTTGGGCTTTGTCGTGGTCTTCTGTAGCCTTATTCGTTCCACGGCGCGATTTCAAACGGCTTCGGATTTGTGTCTTCACGAAAGAATTAGGAGCTACGTGATCGCTGAATTTAGACTGTTTTACGGATAAGTCGCTACACTGCACGTACCCGAAAGCGTATGATTTCAGGCGCTTAGCTACCGAATTACTAAGGGCTTGTCCGGACGTTCTTCAGCTTGTGGAGACAGAAGACTATCTGACTGTCTGGAGCATGGGACGCTTAAGCACTTGGGCTTGAAGGGTTCAAGGCTTCGCGGTCGGTCTACGACATGGGAAGGCTAAATCTCACGCTCACTTGGCATAAAAGCTTGAAGTTCGGCTTTCGAGTGCAAACACCTCATCTTGAGTCATCACGTCCGTGCACCCTCCACCCTCAACAACTGCTGCAGCTGCAGCCTCTGAGAAGCCACAGAATCTTAAACCCACTTCATATTGAGCCCTGCAAAATCGAACCCCCTCAACACTACGTCAGTGAGGCCACTCCCACCTGGATCTCCTCCAGTCCTCGCTTGGGGCATCCGGTTCATGGGTCTTTGTCGGCATGCGGTTCCAGGCGAAGGATGTTACATCATGTGGTCGTAAGGGGCCCAGATACTCCAATCATGTCGGGAGTGTAAGGAGAGGGCATCGCCAATGATGAGCTCGGCTCGATGGTCCGTCTCGACGTTGTTGCAGTCGTCATCTAGCACTAAAGACATGACCAGAATCGACGTGGAATATTGACGCAAGCGTCCCAGTCTGTTGTACAACACCACGGCAGCAAGATATGACAGAAATAACAGATGTCAAACTTGGCGCTCCAGCAATGAAGCTAAAGCCTTTTCGAACCCTAGCAGAACCTTCGGCTTTCGGCGGTTCTGGGTTAATGGCATAGGCTTGTGGGGTTTTGGGGCTCCATCCTAATCAACACGGCCTGCAACATAATTAGAATTATGGAGAAGGTTGGAACTAGCCCCAGTTGGTCCCTCTGTCCAAACTCCTTACCGCCAAACTCGAAACCCAAACCGTCTCAAACCCGAAGTTAAACGCAGGCGGGGGACTCTCCGTACCTGTAAGCGGCTGCTTGAAGCTTATGCCAAAGCTGTCATCCGTCAGTGCCGACCTCGCTCGCACCCGTCTCTCTATGCGCTTGTTCTTGTTGACCGGTGTGCAAAAACACAGAGATCTTGAAACCTTCAGCTTCAAGTCGAAAGCCGTTCGCGTCTGCTACAACTAAATAGTGCTACTACAAACAACGTGGTGACTTGTAGCTGTAGGCTGCCTGCCGGAAGAAGTCTACCAGAGTCTACCCCCTAAACACTCGGTGAAAACTTGATTCTTAGGGGCTCCTCGTCACAAAACGCCACAGAACTCCAGCCGACACAAACGTTTTGCTTCGGACAACAGGCTGAGTCACCATCACGATCTTCTCAAGAACGTAGACACTGTTCATAGTGATAGTTGTTCATTGAAATAATCCTCACAGCAATGTCATTGAAGCCGTTCCATCAGTGTTTTTCTTGTTGTGTGAATAGGTAAGCCCTTCATCAACTGAGCGCGCGCCTTGTTGGGATAGTGACCATCTTGCTGACTTGCCAGGCGCATAGTTGCCCATCATCATGGTCGAAAAGCAGCGAGACATAAACTCACATCGACCCAGTACCCCTCAAGAGCTTCCCACTGAAGTATGCCAAGATTCTGGTACGCATGTGCAGCGACTGGGCAGGCAGAGCATTTGAGCTTCCTGCACCATGGGACAAGAAATTAGAAATTTCTGTTGCAACCTTCGCTAATGATCTCAGGAATAAGTAGAGCCAACTGCACTGTGCAAGGCACGCTCCAGTGATGACTGTCTCGAAGACGGGGTTTGCTTGAATCCAAGACTCGACCTCCGTGCAGCGGGAAGAAAATGGTTACAACTGTGACAACAATGGCAGCAGCAAGAAGAAGTGACACTTGCTGCAATATGATAGGAATTGTCCTCGCGACTCGCAACAGCCACAAGATTCTCCCGTGCTCAGTTGCTTGCGTACTCAAGTCGAAGGTGGCTTGCTCTTTCAGCTCGAGTTAGTTAGGAAGGCCCTTAGGGAGGAGGCTCTAAATGTAAGAGCTCCTCCAATGCTTGCAGGCACATGATCCTGAACTTCATAGTGCCTGGGCGATGACTTCCTGAGAGGAGTTGTCCTGTCAACCGACTCACTCCCTTGACCCTAATATCTGCCATGAACCGAGCTCAGCTGGTTACACGTAGGTCGTAACACACGTCTCATGTGGCCAACGGCCCTGAGTTGGCTGCAAGTACTTCGACGCTCACACTCGTACAAGGCAAACAAGGCTCCACATAGTCCACAGTATCTCAACTCACGGCGACGGGCATGCAGATACCAATTCAAGAAACAGAGCTAACTAAGACAAGTCGAGACAAGGTAGATGTTATCAAGGGCCCTGCAAGTACTTAAGGTTGTCTCTTCGACTGCCCACGTGTGGTTGTGACACGGCACACTGGGCACTGAGCCTAAGCTACACACGCACAACCCAAGCAACACAACGACTGCGACATGCCATCCACCAAGCTATGCAATGTGAGGCGAGGTCGAGAGTTGCTAGTTGCCTTTCTAGGAGCCGGAGATCCTCTAGCTCCTCTGTCCCCACTCAGGCTTGTCTACTAGATGCTATAACATGCAGTGGTACACTGGTGATACCACAGTGTAAGACATGTATTCGTAAAACATAATAAAGTGTGTGCTAACGTTCCATTGATACCCGGCGTGTCCTCAGTTTCCGCCTCGGCCCGCTCGGGTTCCGAGTTGGAAGCCCCCATGGCCAGCGGCACAAGACTCTGAAACAAGGCGGTGCAGGTTTCAGCACTCTAGGATGTCGGGAGGGTCTTGACAAAACGCGCCAACTTGACGGAGAGTGAAGTCTTGGTACACGTCAGAAGCTTTCGAGTTTTTGTTTGCCAAGGCGGCCCCAATCGGACACTGTTGCCTAGATTCCGGCTGTGGATGAGGGGAAAGTTTGACGGCTCCTGCAGACAAGGAACCGATTGTTGAGTCGAGCTGAGATGGCAAGCCCCTGGAGCAGTGAAGCAAGCCTAGCTCTTTTCGCAGCCCTACTCATGATCACAACAGCTGGGAGTTTGATCACTTACCACTCAAGTCTGAATCCACACGCACATCGAGAACACCCTCAACCTTGGACTACACTCGAAATCGCAGCTCAAACATCGCACCTGAAGCCACACACTATAGTTTCAAGCCGAACTCCACTCGCATGCCGAGTGGCGTGCTCATTTTTGGGACGATCGCTTTGGGAAGCTCCCGATAACAACCAGCCAGGCCCACCGGAGCTAGCAGCGAAGAAAGCCAGAACCCCATGAACACTCACAAAGTGCAACCAAATTCCCGAGGTCCAGTCCTGGACTCTCCAAACCCCTTCTATTTCGAAGTTACCTTAAGGGACGAGCTACCTTCAAGGATGCTTCGAATCCTTGGGCAAGGGCTTGTGAGGTCGGATCACGAAGCTTCAATGCCAAAGTGCGGAGCGCCGTGTACAGCGCCTGACCTGCAAGTCCATGCTGGGCGAAAGCCTCTTTAAATATGCTTTTCAAGATTCTTACAAAAGCATTTGCAGAGAACACAAGACAGAGAAGAACATTCAATAATCAAAGGACTTCCGCCTGTCTATATTTGTACGAAGCTGCCCGTCTAATCATCGAGTTTGAAGGCCGTGAGCGTGGCTCGTCACGTGCCGGTAGCTGTAAATCCTGAAACTCCAAAGAGCTCATGCCGATTCATAAGATGATTTTCTAGCAAGAGACCAGGGAAGTGAGACCCTAACCCCATCTCCTAAAAAAGAAGCGCGCGCGCGCGGTGCACAAATCAGTAACAAAGGCGCTCGCCAAGGAGGCAGGAGGGTCGGGGGAACCCACTTTGAGCAACTGGGCCGCCGCACGCTGCGAGACAAAAACGTAGGCTTCCGGCTCCGTGAGGTCTACCTGCGGTTATGGCAATATGGGAGTTTCCGAAAATGGGGGATCCTAATATAGTACCCCAAATAGTAGGATCCCCATTATAGGGACCCCAAAATAAGGTACCCCTAATTTTCGGAAACTCCCATATGACGATACTTTGGGGTTGCACTGTCGGTGTCAAGGAACTTGATTACGACTCACAGAGCTGCCCGAAGCCGTCCGACATCTGTCAGCCCTTTCTGGGAGCTGTGAAACATCACTCACAACCTCCACCGTGCATGCACCCCACCCCCCCTAAACTTAATTATGTAGCTACGCACCAAAACCCAATCGAACTATCCATCGAGTTGGCAATCATGTTGAAGGGCAGGTTTCACTTTGCAGACCCCACCACGGTCTTGGGTGTGGCTCATACTCGCTTGCGTCGGCTTGTGGATCAGGGGGCTGTTTCGGGAAGTCCTCTGCCCATGCCCGAAAGGTCTAAGCATGCCGGCCCTGGGAGCCTGGGGCACGTCCCAGGGCTCCAGATCTCCTGCAGCTGAGAAAAATCGTTTCGGCTCAAGGGTTCGGGGTGATTTCGAAGACTCCATAACGTCAGAAAGCCTTGTCAAGCCTGTTGGTTAGGAGAAAACGAGTCCCAACTAGCAGTCAGCAATACAATGTCTCCACCCAATGTCTGGAGAGGTGGAAAAAGACCAGGAATGCCTTTCTTGCTCCACGATGCTGCTGGTAATGCATGCTAACAGTGTTAACAGTTAGAAGTGATTCCACCAAACTCGCCATGGAGGAGGGGAAGATCAGGAGCCGGAACCAATCACTGAAGGCAGTGATTGCTTGGTTCTTGGTCTTCTCCGTGCCACTCTTGTGTAGGTTCTTCGTTTCTTCCTTTTCTGAATTCTTGTGGGTCCACTATATGACCTTCTGTGCTACAACTTCCCCTGGAATGATACCGTAGTGTGGCCAGCCAGTTCCAGCAAAACACGCAGTGCACATAGTCGTGAAGAAACCATGAAGTGGCAAATGCGCTGCACGGTGGACAAGGTGCAGAATGGAGGCCTGGATAAGGAAAGATAGTACTAAGATCTTGGAACCTCGCCGGAGGCGAGCTGAAAGCAGCTGCAATGACAAACTGAGGCATCAACAAACCTAACCAATGTTAGCCTGCACCTCGCGATCGAAGGTGCTTTCCGGCCAAAGAGCACATATGCGTTTCCGGAAATCATTTGGAACCCAGCGACCGAAAGCTCCCCTGCTTTTGTTGTTCCCCAACAAAAGCAACTGCAAACTCAATGAGTGCATGCACGGAGCCTCCGAACGGATTGCGGGACACGATGAAGTCCTCGGCACTTGTCTGTCTGCACCGCCAGCGGTTGCAAGACTAGCATGTAGGAGTGAGAGACGTCGAAAGCAGGGTCTGCGAGCCTCGTGGCTAGAAGCAGATGGTGAGAAAGGATGGCTTGAGCACGAAGCAGGTATACAAAACCAAGATTCCTTACACACAAACAGGGCAACACGACACGGGAACCCTCACTGCTGCTTGAAACTTCGCACAAGCCCAGAATGGGCAAACCTCGTTGAAAGTTTGCCGTGACTCTTCTGTGACAGGGTTGGCCTGCTTGCAAAGACGGCTGGCATCCTGCGCGAAAAAGCGTCTTCTCGGTTTTTGCGCCGAGCCCTGCTTGGGAGCCGGCCAGGTAGGACTGGAGGTCTTTCAGGCTGAGGGTCCTCGGCAGCCAGCAAGGAAGGTCTGACACCCTCGAGGAAGTCGAAACCGAAACGGAATCGACACTTTTTCTGCAGAGCTAGGTTCATTTCGGTTAAGCCATTGCGGGAATAACTCCATGGTGCAAGAACAGAACTATAACAAGTCACGCCTAAGCGCAAACTTTGCAGTTGCCGACTCCAGGCATCCTGCATGTTATATGTTGAGGCCAACTGTTGACGAAGCGCGGTTCAATGCATGTGGTCTGTCTTAACCTTTCTAGGACACAGTGAGTAGTTGAATAGCAGGATTCACATGTCCACTAAGGAGGACATGCCCAACAACTCGATTTCTCACGCGGGAAATGCAGATGCTGGAGAGACATTAGAGGTGACCTGGTTGTTCTAAGCTCAGGCTTCAGAGACTGCAGAGCTGCCCAAAGTTGTATTTTTCTTCTTCCAGCAGGGGCTGCAGTGCACATGCCCCGGGGTTGCTCCATGCCTTGCAAGGCATCTGGAACCAGTTTTGACACACAAACTTGCAGCTCAACTCTTGAGGTTCCCATCAGAGACTCACACAGACACGAACTGATTTATGCTCTGGTCTGACATGTGTTGTCTGAGACTGCATGAAGCAAGGTTACAAACTTTCAGCCTCCATTCACCCACCCTCATTTCTCACAAGTCTAAAACCGGCAAGAAAAGCGCCAATCCCCCAGCCTATGCATTCCATCAGCGATTTTGGCTTTCGCATGGCTCCGGGAAGTTGCTCATGCTTGAATCGACATGCACACACAGCGCATCCTAAATCCTAAACCCGTTTCATCTTGCCACTATGCGGCTGGGGACCGACACTTCTGTCGCACAGATCGTCGCAAGCGGGCCTCAGGGGCTTCTTCGAGGCTTCCAATTGCTTGGGCTGTGTTCAGGATGTCTGAGTACATTCCTGCACAGAAAGTTTAGACCCAAGTCCAACAAGTTTTCGAGAGAAGGCGCGCTCGGAAATTGACACGCCAACGGGCACACCAACGGGAGCAGCATTTGGTTTTGTGAGTTGCCTCGTGTTTGTTTTTAGTAAAAATGCACAGGTTGTAGCCTGCAAGGTGTTGCGGAGCCCAGATGGCAAGCAACCCAAACCAAAAGACAGTGAAGTGGAACCAGGCCACACTGACAATGAGGGAGTCCCGGTGGCTGCAACCATGTTGTATCCCACGACCTCTCTCCAAAAGCCCGGTGCTCAAAGGCCTCCGGCCAAGGTTACATTCAAGTAAGCCCCGGGCACCTAAAGCTAGAATGCTGAAACTACCTGGCAGGACGAGGACTGTAGGACTGCAAAATCCATTTCTCAATGCCGCAACACAGCATCTTGAATGAGAACTTGCTGTACAGCTTGGATCAAAAGGATTTACCCGGCAATCTCACCTCTGAGGGATGCACGTCAGAGTGCGATTGCAAACATAGAGTGCGCCTGGACATGCCAGGCACATGCCGGTAAAGCAGTGCGGTTCGAGGCTTTGGTCGGATGGTGGGGTTCCAGCTCCAAATCTACCCTTGGCGAAATCCAATTTTAGGGGTAGCTGCTTCATTCAGGGAGCAGAACTGGGTTCTCATGTTTCAGGCACGACGTGCTCAGCAGCTCGGATGCTCGCGTGAAAGCCACTAAGTTGCTCAAAAACAACCTGAAACCGGTGCCATCGCACGTCGGAGAACCCACCCACGTGCAGCAACTCCGGCCTGATCGATCATCGCACAGCCTCACTGCAGAGACAAGTGGCCCAATCCGGATTGAATGAAGCCTGACATGCTAGGCCATCTGGGCCTTCCTTCCAAAACGCCCACAGCCGGCAAGGGGTGCCGTTTTCGCCCTTGTCCAGATTCCCACACCCTGAGCCTGCAACCGCCAACGAAACCACAAAGCCCCCAAAAAGCCCCAGAAGCTGCATCTCCGGCCTGGTGAGGCTCACTTCGAGGTCGCGGATGCCAGGGCCCAGCTGCCTCCAGGGGCCTGAGTCGGCTCAGCTTTTTGGTCTTCTTCTCGGTTTCAAGGGGCCCCTTTCTGCTGAAAGGCTTGGAGCTCTTGAGTTAGTTTCAAGGTTCAGCGCTTCGTGTGCCGGGGAAAGGGCTGCGCCGGGTCTGGGTTTCGGACTTTGGGATACTTCGGGCGCCATGAAGTGACAGAGAAGCAGTGCCACAGTGGTTCACTGGCACTAACAGGTTCAGTCTTGTCAGCAACACTAGTTTCGTCGAAAAAGAGGGGGTGGCAAAGGAGAGAGAACCACAGTATCAAGCAGTATGGTGACTAGCGTGCAGCCACCCGACGACTGCTACGAAAACGGCCTCGACGGCGGCAGAGACAACGACTAGTGCGGCTACAGCGACTACCACTACCACATGTACCAGAACAACCAACACTGCTGAAACAATATTTTCTACTTACTGCTACTGCTGCTACTACTTGGAACCCCAGGAAAAGGAAGGTGTAAGATGCTGGCACACCGCTCCTTGACGCCTGCTCTGCTGGCACACTGCACGGAAAGGCCGCAGCTGAGTCCTACGTCCACTGCTGAGGATTCGTTGGAGTTGAGAGGATCTCGAAAGGCTGCGGGGCCTTACGGTATACGGGCTTGGCTTGCGACTTCGCTTTTCAACACTGACAAGGCGAGAAAGTGTTGCAAAGGCTTGCGGGAATCGGGTTCTGCGGTTGGGGCAGGATGCATGGCTCTTCATGGCTTCGAGCTGAAGCTGTCATAAATCATCGCTGCATTCTGGAATCCATCGCAAAACACGCTCAAAAAAAGAGGTCGCCTAATTCCCCCCCAAAAAGGACAACACGTCCCATGGTGGACCGCATCATGCTTCCTCTATAGACTCTTGAACTGCGAGCGTGCTGTTTCGTCAGCTCGGTCGGTCGTAATCAACAAGGTGCCTTCACCCAAAGTCATGTCGGCTGAGGATCCTACAGTTTCTGGGTTGCTTCTACGGCTTAGGTTTTCGCCACAGCCTGCCGAGCCATTGGCCGATCTCATCCATTGCAGCAGCTCATGCAAGCATCACACTGTGTTTCGTCTTCTGCATCAAGCTTAGCTTAGGCTTAGGCTATACAAGGGCTTCGACGTGCATTCAGGCACGGATACAAAAGGGTTTGGGGAGTTTGGGGTGTAGGGGATTGATGAGTCCTTAGCCGTCTCGGTTCGGTACGAGCTTCGTAGGTTTATGTGAAACTGTGTGCTATCTTCGCGGCAAAATTCGTCTCCGACAATCCGCAGCGTAAAGGAGGGGTGAACATGCGCAAGCAGGCATACTCCCGAACTCAGAATCGCTCTACCCGACATCCCACCTTGCCACCCTAAATCCGGAAACCTCACACCCGCCGCACAAACGCAAGAGAACATTAGGGTCTTTCCTACATCCCTAGCGATCTAGTTGAAGCATTTACCTTCTAGAAGAGCAGGCAGGGACAGCCATGGAAAGGGCTCAAGCACGTCTCGTTGACATGGCACAAACTTCGGGAACCTGTGGGCATCTCAGGCACGGCACGATGCGGTCCACTCGTGGGGTGCAAGTGTGCATGGAAATCTGAAGGTCTGGACAGATGATTGCAAACTAGCATGGCCCTGTAACCCGTCTTCAGCCCGAGTCGTTTCTTTTTACAACTTTGTAGCAATCTGCGCCCCGCTTGGGTCTAAGCAATCGCAGAGTCTTCCGCATGGAAGGGACTAGCAGGTGAGAAGGCTCTGCGTCTTCTGTGCCAGTACCGGTAGCTACTAACAAGACCCGAACGCAAATAGAGTGCCCAAATAGCCTGAAGTTCGGACTTTATTGTCACCTGAAGCCCTCGCGCCAAACGTCGCCAAACAGTGTAAGGGGTCATAAAGCCTAGACGCCACACACCGTGAACCCTGAAACATAAATCTGCCTAAATCCTGGACCTAGCCTTGGATTTATGGCCGTCACCCTGCTACAAGCTGCTACTTGTTAAAAGACTCGAAACATCTCGCAACTACAAACCTAATAGTTTAACATGAACGAAGCTCCAGACCCTGACGATCGGGGCCAGTTAGGGCTCAATTATCCATGCCTCGGCTGTGCCAAAAAACCAGCCCGCTGCTCCCAAGTATAGCTGAACCTTCTGCAACTCCCTGACATGCTGGCGCCAAGAAACAACAAAATGCACGTTGTAATCTTGTGGGACTAATGTGTAGAATAGTATAGGTATGCATGCATGAAAGAATATACGTATATATGTATGCATGTACATGCATGCATAGACATACAACATTTGCGAGACACACACTCTCGGGGCAATCGAGGTCCCCATAACATGCCGGAATTCTCACCGAATCTTCAACCGGCTGCACCAGACCTCGTATGACAATATAGTTTACCTACGGTCATAGACCTCAGGACCTATATAAATCCTCAAACACGACAAGCTCAGACCCGGTAAGAGGCCCTGTCCGATGGCCACCCTGAATCCCTGAACCCCAAATCGTAAACCCTAAGCGTCAAGACCTGGATGCCGAAAGCCCTACCCTGCCCCAAACACCGTCAGAAGCCCGAGAGAGCCTTCCACTAGTAAACAGGCGCACTGTTGGCTTCGTCAGCTTGGCTTGTAAGCCAAAACTTTTCGCACGTTCCGTCGGTAGAGGTTGCGCTGCTACGAGTGATTGTTTTATCCAGGCGTTTGCCATCAACGTTTCGTGGTGCTGCATTTGTTTTGCACGGTGATATGTACTACTTGAAGACTCATGTGTTGACAAGGTGTGGCGCTGCTGTACTGCTGCTGTTGCAACCAGTGTTTGCACACTCTTACATACTGGTAGTACATGGTCATGCTGGGAGACGTTTCTAGAGTCTAGAGCAAGCCCGATGCCGAAAATCCCTCGACCTACCTCGTGGAGACTATGGCCGAAACTCTGGATTTGGAGCTGGACCTCAAGGGCCTCTAGGCGGTTGCATTGGCTTTTGATGAGGGGCGGGGTTTGACAAACAATTGCGGCAATTGCGGGTCGAGTCTCCAAAGCCAACCATAAAACGGATAACAAAGCATCCTCTCAGGTATCAATCTTACACGATGATACCACGGTGAGGCTAAGACCACACATAACAAACAGAAGTTTTCCGTGTCAACATCAAATCAGAATCTGCTCCGCCGACTGCGCCGAGTTCAAACGTCGAGACTTCGCTATGCCCGCGGTGGGGAGTCACAGCAGGGAGGCGTCCGTCGTCTGCGTGGATCTTCCCGAACCGTCGTCTGCAATATATAAATGTGGGTGCAAAAAAGATTGCTCTTCACAGGCTCTTGCGATACAGGGTCCTGATCGAGAAGACACATCTTTGCATGCTGAAGTAGTCACGACCTTACAAGTGTGCAACCTGAAATTTTCGCCAGATCATGAAACCCCAACGAGGGTGGGATGAAGAGGTTCTGAGATGCTGACATGAACCCAAACCATATCGAATTGACCACCGCATTTGCCCGGGCTGATACTATGATCTCGCTGAGTTTGCATGCTGAATTCCGCGGAGTATTATGACCTCAAATCGAGTTCTGGGAAGACTGCACTAGAGAACCACATCCTCCGAGCGCTAATGGCGCTCGCTGCCGATGCAGCACGATTAACTTCGCAGTCAGCAGCCGGCTGCGTTAGTGGTTTGGAGCTTACACCAGGCTTCTGAAAAAATGGACTAAGTCGGGCTGGTAAAGCCAGTATCCCTTTCTTGTCTCGTCCACTGACGCAAATTGCCGGCTGCCACCGCAACATTCGGAGGGGCTGAGAACCGATCTCGAGAGAGCGTCCGAGACTCCATGAGGCTTCAAAGGCTTATATGGGACTTTCCGAAAATAGGGGACCCTAATATAGTACCCTAAATAGTAGGACCCAAAATACGGTACCCCTAATTTTCGGAAACTCTAATATCAGAGTAGTAGGATTGAAGGCACGTTTTGGGTGTGCGAGTTGTTTAAAGGGCATTGGCCGGGATACCCAAAGAGTCTTGACGTTTATGGAAGCTCCATTCTTGGACTCGCATGACCCACTAGTTCAGAGCACCCCTTGGTCAACAATTTTGAAAGGTTGCCACGCCTTGAGTTGAAAGCACAATAACGGGCCTTAATGTTTAGGTTCATGCCGAGTGCTCTCCCAGGACACCCTCTCCGCTACGCAGCCGGCACTGCTGAGATTCAAGCTCAAGTAAACTCTGATTGTGAATCTCTCACAGACCGGAGCTTTCGCGCGCACTTGCTCCGCGTGCTGGTCGGCTTCGCCCGAGGGATTCAGGCTTTTTTGGCTGTGAGGTCTGATGGCTGAATTCGACTGGGTTGCTACTGTGACGAAGCACGGGTGGGATAGTGATGACGTTGCAGATAGTCCTGGCGAGGGTCGAGAGACTGCGGCTCTACGGTTGGTGATCATAAAAGCAGTGAGGAAGGAACAGCACACATCCAAGAAAACCAAAATCACATGCACGCACGCACGCACAAACGCGCAGCCATAACGACTGTACCATCAGCGATCGAGAAGGGCTTCGTCGTAACAGTAAGCGTTGAAGCAAGTAGTACACAGCTCAGTAGAAGCAGCAAACATAACCAACTGCAACAGCAGTGAACCATGTTTGACAACCGCTCTTCGAATTCGTCGAGTGGGAACAAACATACACGAACCACCGACATATGGTACTTTAACATATGTATGCTTCATTGTAGTCGTAGCACAGGTGACAATGTATAAGTTGCTCTTGGGAAGGCTCTGCATCTATCGTACCAGCCAGTATACCAAGTTCACAACCACATTAAGAGGCACCTCAGGAACTGATCCGTTGTTCGGCTTGATACCGACAAACAACGGGGGATTTGAAGGCAGGCGGCGCTCCAGAGTGGGCCGCCGCGAGAATTGGCAGGTTTGAGCCACGAACCCCCTTTTTTTCGCCGACTTGCGAGGTTGTCGCTTTCCAGCGGTGTTCAAAGCCGAAGTGTCCTGATCACTTTTGGCAGTACATATGGTGTGATCTACGACCCGGAACAACAGTCGCCACTTGAGTGAGGGATCGGACCTGGCTGGATGGTAAGGCATCTGCCGACCGGCACTGTGCTACACTTCGTTCGCATGGCGCAAGCTCTTGCGCCCCGGTAAGTTTCGGGTTGGGCTTGGGGCTTGAGAAACTGTGGGCTCAGATGATTGTTGACGGGATCTAGGAAAGTAGGCTCGATTACTGAGTCTGACCCGCTCTCCATGCCCTAGTACAATCCCAGAATCCGCGAGTCTCAAGGAGAACAAGGCCTACCGTCAAAATGCCATAACCTTCATCCACAACCTCTGCTGCTGCAACCCTTCAATGCCGTTGTGATGACCAACCGAGTGGCTATTTCGAACTAGCTGCTATCTTTGTCTTGGCATAGTTTGCAGACTGCTGCGAGTGCTGAGCTGTAAATTTAAATGGCAAAAGCAGCAAAAGGCTCGAATGACATCCACATTACTCGATGTACGATTGCACAGTTTACTGGCTTCAACTCAAGCAACACTTCTCAGTATTGGCACTGGTCATTGGTGGTTGTGTGGTGTTAGTTGTCAGCCTAGACCACCGAAAGGAAGCCCAGTTCAGAACAGCCTCGGAGAGCTCATGTTTGTTACTTCAGGTCAAGAAGAGAAAAAAGGGCGATGACCGGCGCCGCCATGCTAAGCTCAGGCCCGTGAGACCAGGGCCCTGCTGCTCACATTGAGCTAGGGTCAGCTACCAGCCTCGCCACTTGGGGGCAAAAAAGGGGCGTTGGGTTTGAGATCCCAGGAGGTTAGTGCAGCGCCTCGTTGCTCTACCAGCTTTTTCTGCCACCCAATGCATTTTGGAGGTCTGGAACCTTCTTGAACCCTCCGGATCTTGGTCTGCTTGCAAGAGCCTGTGACCCTAAGAATTGCTTCAACGATGGAAGGGCCTGGCTGTCGACCGGGGAGGTCGCTGGTCGACTCAGGATTTTGGGCTGCGAGGGAAGGAGGTTGATGAAAGAGGAGCTCCCTCAGAGATTCTTGCGCTTG